GTCCACTCTGAAATTGTTGGGAGGGTGAGTTTTATGTTATGAGGGGGGTTTTTTGCAACAAAAATTTAATTAATTTTGAAAAAGTTAATGAGTCAGAAGTAAACTGATCCTACTAAAACATGAGTGGATAAATAAAAATTACATGTATGCATTATATATATATATACACACATTACATATATGCATTATATATACATATATATATATATATCAGATATTGTCAAATGAAAAAAGCAAGCTGTGTATGGTTTGCTACTATTTTGTAAAAAAAATGGGGAGAGTATATGTCCACATATGCTTCTATATAGGTACACTCTTCAGTAAAAATACCTAAAAAACCCGATTACACTGGTTGCCTGTGGAACAAACATTGTATATACCCTTTCCTATTGTTAGAATTTTTTATAGTACCCGTGTATAACCTTTTCAAAAACAATTTTAAAAGAAGGAAGTGCATAGAGACTGAAAGTGGACTAGAAGCTACCAGGGATTGAAGGGAGGGGAGAATGGGGATCTATTGTTTAATGGGTATAGAGTTTCTATTTGGAATGATAAAAACGTTATGGAAATAGATGGTAGGGATGGTTACACAACATTGTGAATGTACTTAATGTCACTGAATTGCACACTCAAAAATGTTTAAAATGTAACAGTACCCTCCCCCTTTATCCAAGGTTTAGTTCTCCATGGTTTCAGCTACCCATGGTCAACTGTGGTCTGAAAATATTAAATGGAAAACTTCACCTCATGTCATCTCATCATGTAGGCATTGTATCATCTCACATCATCACAAAAAGAAGGGTGAGCACCATACAAGGTATTTTGAGAGAGATAGACCACATTCACATAACTTTTATTACAGTATTGCTATAATTGTTCTATTTTATTAGTAATTATTGTTGTTAAACTATTACTGTGCTTAATATGTACACTAAACTTTATCGTAGGAATGTATGTGTAAAAAAAACAGTATTATAGGATTCAGTATAATCCATACCTCCAGGCATCCATCCAGTGGGGGTCTTGGAACATATACCTCATGGATAAAGGGAGACTACTGTATGTATATTTCCCCACAATAAAACAAATTTAAAAAATAAAAGAACGAGGAGGTATACGGAACAGGTAGAGATTACTGTGTTTGTGTAAGACAATATATATATATATATATATATATATACATGTATATACCCATAAGTACATAGAAAAGAACCTGGGGCATACCACAAATAGTGTGAGCCTGGAATTGTGGTGGGTGTGGAGGGAGATCTTTCAGGTTTGATTCTATATATTTTATAACTGACTATTCTACAATGAGCATTTCTTTTGTAGTTTAAAAAGGGTTGAAAACAACAACAAGTTGAGTCAATTGATTCCTGAGAATTATTTAACCTCGCTTGATATGATCCCCACAGAGAACTGGAGAATTTTCTAACTTGTGAAGAAGTGACCACTTTCATTGTGGATACACCCAAACCAAGCTAGCCAGCTCTTGGCAGAACTAGCACTTAAGGGAGATTTGCTTTTAATACCCTTTCTCAACCTTTAGAAACCCCCCTTTCCGTCACTATTTAGCAGTGTCCCCTCCGCCTGAGCTGCTAGTGCTTTCAAACAAGTCCCTGGCTTACCGGAAAATTATACAGAGGGCCTGTACCCGCCCCCTCCTTCCCCTCCCCAGGCAGCAGCCCATGTTCTGCACCTTTCCTTTCTCTTCTCAAAACTTAATGGCTTCTGGTTCCCTTTCATAAGGACCTTACTGATTAAGGATTAGTTAATTTGAGCTTAATGTTAATAGCTTCATTTGTCTCTCTATTAGTAGATAATGTTTTCATTTTAACAGAGACTTTCTCCTTATTAACCAAAAGGAATGAGTGACTAATAGTGTGTGGGTTGGGAGGGGGGGTGGGGAGATTTTGATAATCACATCACATAAGCAGCTGCTTTGAAAATATCCCCCCTTTCAGTGGTTTTATGCACATTTTCACTGTAAATGTATGGAAATAAATGTTTTGTATCTGGCAGGCGATGCAAAATTGGCTGGGAGCATGTGATGAAATTAATTGTTTATAATTATTTAATGGTTACCTTTTTATATAACATGTGTTGATCCTATTAACAAAATAAATTGGTCCCGTGGGAAAAAAGACGTTTGACAGATTCAGCTTGAGGTGTTTAATTGAATTACTCTGAGGCAGACTTACCACATCACAGTGCCAGAGTATGAAAGGGACAGCTTATGGGTTCTTTTTTCCTGCTAAGAAGGCCGGGAGGGAGAGGGGAATGGCTCCAGATACTTTCTACAGAGAAAAGCACAGAGCCCAGTCTGTTTCAGAAAGAAAAATCACAGAAGGGAGATTTTGTTGCACAAGAGAATTGTTCCTTCTGCAGAAGGGAACCTTCATACCGTTCTCAAAAGAAGCAGCTAGTTGTCTGAAATCCAGAGGTTGACCTGAAGGCTTTTCTAACCAGGGGGCTCTTAACAGGATGGTGAGAAGTACTTTTGGCATGGGCTCATCAATAGGACATTGTTCTAAAGCTAGTTGTGAATAGGCCATGTCGGCTGCTTAAGAGACAGTGGTTCAAAATAAATGTTCCCAGTATGGAGAAGTGCCATGTTCCGGGTATTTTTTATTCTCTTTTGATCCATATTTTGGTATTTTAAAAATTAATTTTACAATTTATCTGAATCATTGTGTTTGTTACAATAAACGCATTTGTTTGGTATCTATATTACACTGGTTAATATTTTCCTGGAGTTTTAATTAGTCTTCAGATCCAAGCCTAAACCTACCTGCTGGCCATGCCTTCGTAACCAGCACACCAGGTCACTTAGAGCCTGGCTTCTGTGATGACACATCCTCCTGGTTTTTCTCCCATCTCACTTCCTGTTCCTCAGGTTCTGCTGTTTTCTCCTGCTGCTCTTCTGTCTCCCAAGGTTGGAGTTTCCCTGGGCTCAGTCCTTGGTTCTCTTCTCCATCTATACCCACTCCCTAG